GAGAGAGAGAGTGAGAGAGGGAGAGAGAGAGGGAAGAGAGAGGAGAGAGAGGAGGAGAGAGGAGAGGGGAGAGGAAGGGGAGAGAGAAGAGAGAGAGATGAGAGAGAGAGAGGAGAGAGAGGAGAGAGAGGAGGAGAGAGAGAGAGAGAGAGAGAGAGAGAGAGAGAGAGAAGGAGGAGAGAGAGAGAGAGAGAGAGAGAGAAGAGAGAGAGAGAGAGAGAGGAGAGAGAGGAGAGAGAGAAGAGAGAGAGAGAGAGAGGAGGGGGCACTCACATGCAGGTACGATGGCACGAAGTTTTTGTCGGTGCTGTGCGGCACGGGGTGCGGCCGCGCCTGGTGCGGCGGCCTGGAGGGCGCCGGCGCCGGACGCCGCGGCGTACAGTCTGCTCGCGGGTTGCTCGGGTCGGCGTACACCTCGGGCGCCGCGCTGCACTGGATGCACAGATCCTCGTTGGCGGCGCGCACGAACGGCGGCGGCTGCTGCGGCGGCGTGGGGCAGCGCTCGGCGACCGGCGGCGGGCACTGCACCATCACCGGCTGGTCGCAGCCGCGCATCTCGGCCTGCTGCCAACCGGCCGGCGGCCCGTCCGAGGCAGGGCGGCGCGGCGGCGGCGGCGGCGGCGGCGGCGGCGGCGTACTGCGGCGGGTCGTACATGGACGGCACGCGGCTGTGCGCGTCCGGCGGTGCCGTGCAGTTCGGCACCGGCGCCGGCTGGCCCGCTCGTGCAGCCTTTCGGGTAGCCCTTGTTTCCGTGCCGCCTCTTGCCTGCGGGAGAACCGGTCTCGTGGTCAAACCACTCGGGCCAGGGGTAGGGCACCGGGTAGCCGGGTCGGGGGTTCTCCTTGAACTGGAGCAGGCCCTCCCGCCCGCCGCGCACCACCGCCTGCATGTACTTGGAGTCGAGCACGCCCGGGTAGAACTTCTTGACTCGCGGCTCGGGCGCGTCGTGCTGGGGCTGCTGGGACGCGGAGAAGTCGGCTATCTGCGAGATGTCCGGGTACGGCTTTGGCGGTCCGTCTCGGGAGCCGTCACAGTCCATGAAATGGTATATGGCATCTGCGGACAGCCAGAGACTTGCGTCGCACTCGGGCTCACAGTCTCGTTCAAGAGCACGCTGGTCTGCCGGCCGGCGAACATTGTCCACAAGCGTTACAATCGTCCCTTACAGCGTTTGTCACCGCGGTGATGCCACGGACATGGTCTAATCAGCTCCACTCAAGTCCATTCAGCTCAGAACATATTGCAACACTAGCTTGCAGCTTCCATTCGTTTGATTTTTTGATGTTCCAGTCATCTAGGAACAGCGCTCGTTCTCTGACTGGGCGTTGGCCATTGGCGAGATGGTCTGTGCGATGTTTGACGGCGAGGAGTTGCTTCCAGCGCTGCGTTCTCTTTCGCTCGTGAATTGAAATCGCGATCGCGTCGGAGCCTTATAAAACTGTCATCTCAATGTTGCATGCTGCATGCTCTACGAGTAGTCGTGCAGCTTTAATGATGTTAGCAGCCCGCAACGAACAAGAGCAGTGGTGTAATTTCACAAAACGAGCTCGGATGGGGCTGAAGAGTGAAAAATGACTCAACGTACCCCGAAAATATGCCAACAACTAGATTTTTCCTCAGATTTGGCCCACCTTCCGAATCAAACTTGAAGGGCCGGAGTCCAAGTTGGGGGACTCCAGCTTCCCCCTCCTCCAACTGAATAGGAAACTACATCCTCGAAAAAGAGTGTATGGCATGTGGGCTAGTCGTGAACTGAGTGACGTCGCCGCCGCCGTGAGCGCGGTGCGGCTCTGCAGCCTGCAGCCGGCGGACGGTCGGTTGTCCAGCGGTCTAGACCCGGAAGCTGATGTAACCGGCAGGCCGGGGGAGACGGGCAGCACGGCTGGACATAGAAGTGAGTCCCGCGATCCGAGATCCAATCATGTCATGGGACTCCACGGGGTCCGAGGTCTAGCCTTGTGATTGGCATTGCATGCGTCCAGGAAAATGCTGCCTATGGTCCGATGGAAGGTTCATTCACTGTTTGGTGGGTAACCAAGCAGTGAATGGATTGTGATTGTGATTGCGATGGGAAAATGGTGACAGCACCACCGATTGCAGTGTTGCGTCCGTCGTATCTTGCGTTGATTCGTCAATTTCTTTATTTATTTCACGCCCATGTATGACGTATTACGTACTTTTATTACGAATTACACCTATTCATTTGGGCGTTTTGATATTATCTGTAGTCTGTACAATCCCATGAATTTACACCAGATCCTTGCATCCGAATCTGGGATCATCTCTGCTTTTGACTAAGCCGTCAGTGCGTAAATATGGTCGTAATAGAAGTTGACGTCTCGGGATGGACAGTCATGCTCTTTAATGCCGCATCGCGTATCCTACCGGCTTCGAGGTGCGAGGACCAAGTGGTTAAACAAGTTACATTTTTCTGTACTAGAGACGACGCTTAAAGTCAAAGTAGGCACGCATCGGTGGAATCGATTGGGCATTCATTACAGAACGCAAGATGAGAACCGATGAAGGCAGCTGCGTCTTCACTAGGATAATGGCAGCTCTTGTCCACTTCGTAATCAACCCTTTACTAACTCCTGAGGAAATACCTGCCGGGGCAGGAAAGGCAAGAATAGGTGAAAGCTTTGCAGCCTTGCCGCCTACTCCGAACGTAAAGGAAAAGACGACGCCTCTAAATGTAATGACCTGTCTGAGCCTTGCCTCGCTGCCTCGCGTATGTTGCAAAGGGCTACATACGGAACGAAGTAGACTGCGTATCATTCCGTCACCTAATACACATCTGGGACAAGATTTTGAACCTGTTTGACCTGGACAATCCTTCCACTTATGAAGAATGCGCTATACTGGCTTCGATGTCAATTAAAAACCATGGAAAATGTTTGTGCAGGGGAGGACTTTTTCGTCCCGGCGGGTAGCCATCTGTCCAATTCACCACCTGGCATTGGCGGCGCAGACCGGGTGCACAATCAGCATTCCTTACAAAGGGATTGGGTGGAAATGCATGGAAATTGTACCACAAAGTTTGGTGTTGGAAGAAAATGTATAGGTTATTGAGGGTGAAAATCATGCATTTCAATACTTTCAATACAATACTTTCAATACTACGCAGCCCAAGTGGGCAGTGGCCCGAAAGACTGACTGTCCTGTTCACATCCAACGCTCTTCCAGCTTTGGAGGGCGACACGCACGGAATGCGCGTGCCGGAGCACGCATGGTCGCGACATCGTTCGCAGCAGCAAACAATTTGTCATTACAAAATGAGCGTTCCAGAATGAAATACAATCAAACGACATCGCGTTGAGCGAGAAAGCTTGCGTTATGGTGCCTACGAAGCCCATACAGCCACGGGCTAGTTTGCGGTTTTAACCCGGAAAAAATCAAAAAGCATTTTACTCACTATCCATGGGAAGATTTGGTTCGTGGTCGTGTGCAGAACAGTCCTAGATTATTTTAGTCTCTTGATGAACTAGCAACAACGGATTACCCTCGACATAAAAATGAACTTTGACATACTGTGCCCACACGATATTTCCGAAACATCAGTGTCAACAAATCTCGCGTAAGAAAAAACGTGATTAGCCCACGACACCTCTCTTATAAATATTCAAATTCGGTCTTGCGAGAAAGCGTATGTTTCCACCAGAGCGCCCCGTTCGACGCATTATTTCATCTGAGATCGAGCCTTCAGAAGTCAGGATGCCTGCCGCGTATGCTAAATTGCATGTCATCGGGAAAGTTCAAGATAGAGGACTTCACGGGTTAGGTCCATGGGTACTCATACGGAATGTGTAATGAGTTACGCTGGACGCAGATGTTGGAAATTTTACGGCCATAGCTACAGTTATGGAAAAGACTTTGACATGTCGGGCAGCTGCTTGAAGAAAGTTTAAACAATGTCACCGCCCCCGCTTCGTTTTGTCGTACTGGACACCATTTACGTTGTTTCACAATTATCAACGCGGAAGAAAAAGTACTAAGCCTTACAGAAACTCTTCTGTCACTTAGATCTGGTGCTAAAAATACAAACGAGCGGGTAACGGGTGGACACCACTGACTGGGCATGAGTGGCGGGTGTGCATGGGTAGAGGGTATTGGCCTACCTTCTACCCACGGGGCCATGGGTAGAGGGTATTCGGTGAATTATGTCTAATATCAGAAGGCCTCTGATTCAAGATGCAGTCTGTCATTTCAGTCACACCCTTGGAAAAAATGCGGCATCTTACTCAAATAGTATGAAGGTCTATGTCACCCATGTCTGGTGTGCCCGCCAACACGAAGTCACAGCTATACGCGTCCTAAGGCATTTCGCTACTACCCAACAACCGAGGTCGCGTAGGGACAACCGAGACCACCACCGATTTTTAGTTTTGACTCCCCCGTATGTTCTCGGCGAACGCTTTTTAAACGGATAGTGCTGAGCCAGCACTGATACTAAAGAAAGGCCATCTAGGCACACCTCAAACCAGCGATCATATTTCATTTATATTTGTAACAGCAGTTTAATAGAAAAAAGTAGAAAACAGGCCCAGCACGGAGCGCAGCAGTCTTGGTCCTGGGCTGTATGGAATGCAGCATCGCGCAACAGTGCAGACCCAGGCCAGGGTCAACACTACAATTGGCGCATTGTGAAAAAACGGAGACAGGAAAGACGATCGTATCAGCCGGCATTGCCAATGGAATACAATGGGGAAACTCGAGGCGCCACATAACGCCAGCCGAGCTGGCCCGTTTGAGCGGTCGGGCTAAATACATGACGTCACGAAATCGGTGGTGTCTGCACATTACACGATGGGACGCGTGGAGCACTACGGAGGGAAGCTTGTGAGAGGGGGCGGTGGCACGCGACAACCATCGGCACTTGGTTTTGGTCGACACACAGATCGCTGCATTTGGTCCGTACACAAGCACACCGCGGTGCACGCTTTTCACGAATACAGACATGTGATATCGCGCCCTGAAACGCATTACCGAAATAAACACACCATCCTTCTTTTCAAAATGTCCCCCGCGCGAAGTACAGGGTCTAGTACGTACGCGTTGAGTACGTGCGAAAACATTCAACGTAAAACCTATCACTTGCATTCGTGCCACCAAACACGCCTCGCTAAACCAAGACGTCATCTCGTCAAATTGAAACCGCACATGACTTGGAGAGAATAAATGTTCTGACATTTCGAAAATGGCCTACAGTCAACGACTGTAGTCTTGATGCACGACGCAAACAACCAACGCAAAAGTACTGAGCGAACGACGGCCTGGCACGCGGCCGGGTTGGGCCGGGGCCGATTCCGCAGACGGGCGTCCGCCGGCCGTGCTGGACACGCCCACCCTGGCGCCGCGTTTGTACACAGAATGGCGAACGGGAGGCGGCGGCGCGCCACCGCCGACTAGAGCCCGACACGGTGACGGAGCGTCCGGCGCGCGCGCGCGCGCGCTCCGATTGTCTCAGTTTGTACGCCGCCGTACCCGGGTCGGGGCGTCCGCCTCGCGGGCCGCCGCCGGCTGCTGGAGCGGCGCGCGGGCAGGCGGCAGCGCCAGCTCCGCAGGCTGGCGGCGGATACGCCAAACCACGTGCCGGACGCCCGGCGGCGGCGGCGAAGCGAAAACACCCTACACCTCGGCACGCCGGCAGCTGATCACGCACTCGCTGGTCGGCTGCCAGCTATCTAACTCCCGCGATCTGAGTTGCAACATACTCCTGAATCTAACACAAGCGTGGAGAAATCCGTGCAAACTAACAGTGAGAATGTCACGGCCAGGGGCCGACAAAACGCGGCCGGGGCCGTGCGTAACTAGATAATACAGATCTGGCGCCGACTGGGGCGCAACGTCGAGCGGCACCGCCAGCGGCTCGCTCCTCTACCGCCGGACTCGGCGGCACAACCGGCCATGCCCAGGACGGCCGGCGCCGGCAGCAGCGCCGGCAGCAGCGGAGTGCCCGCCGTGGAGCGCCGACCGGTGGCGGCGCGGCTCTGCTGCGCGGACACAGTGCAGACTAGACGCGGGCGTGTCGGGCGGCGGCCCGGCCGTCAGCACATCACGTTCTTGTCGAGCACCAGCACCTTGCTGGGGAAGGAGGCCGGGTCGCCGTCGCGGCCGGAGCGTTTGATGATGACCTGGTGCAGGTGGGGCGCCGGCGCCGGCGCTGGCGGAGCGCTCGGCGGCGGCGTCAGCCAGGCGTGCTGCAGGCTGGTGCGCGCTGACAGACGCTCACTGGAAGCGCGTGCGGCCGCCGTCAGGGGCATCGGCGACCACGCTGTCCATCGGCGACACGGCCGACGGCCGTCGGCCACGCCGCACGGACGACAACCGACACTGTGTGAACGAACGCTCGCAACTAACGGAGGCCCGTCCTTGGCAGCCAAATGAAAGTAACTGCTTCCGAGTTTTCATGAAGCGAAATTATGCATGAATGGGTGCTACAATACCAACCGCTGCGGTACAGCCTACCTGAACCACATTACAACGGCACTAGCGCAGCTAAGTCAAGTGCCGAAGCAGTATCGTCGCAGCGTACCTGGGCTCGACCAGCAACAGGGCGGTCATGAAGTCGAGCGCCGCCTGCGACGTGTCGGCGAACAGCTCCTCGGGGAAGTCCAGCTGGCCCTGAGCGATGTTGCAGAACGTCTCCTGCTTGGTGTCGCCGCCGAACGGCGAGTGGCCGGAGAGCAGCACGTACGCCAACACTCCGATTGACCTGGTCGCCAGCGCGCGCACACACACACACAGACGTCAGGGCACACACACAACGTAACAGCGGCCTAACGCCCCCCTCAAATTACGACATTATGCACCTTGCGTGATCTTACGGGGCTCAGCGCATCACAACTGGAAACGAATGGTGGCGGCCGGTGTAGCACAGAGCAGCAAGCACAGGCGCGATTTCTTATCGTTAATGCGGAACTTTTACATGCACTTGGCCGACACTGTCATCGGACCATCTGGTACATACTGCGAGCATGTGATACATATACACACTGCTGACAGATCTTTGATTGCATACCTGTACCACCTGCAGTGCAAACTGCATGATCAAATAATTCTACTTCACAACCAAACAAGAAGAAACGAAACCGTTCGTAGCCAACAAACCACAGTAGATACGGACACCAGACGGGGATCGCTCGCTCCGTCAAACCACACAACACAACGCCCCACTATATCGGCCTGCTGCCGGGCCCCTGCCCGGCGATGACGCGGTCATCTGAGCCCGATGCCCGCCGTGGCGCGGCTGGCATCGGACCGGCTGGCGCGGCGTCCGGCGCGGCGCCCGGCGTGGCGCGCGGCGCCCGACCGGTCACGTGACGTGGCGCCGGCGGCCGGCGTCCCCCACTCACCACATGTCGGTCAGCAGACTGATGGGCTCGTACTGCAGCACTTCGGGCGCCACGTAGTCGGGCGTGCCCAGCACCTCGCGCACCTCCACGCCCGGCTCGATCAGACGCGAGATGCCGAAGTCGCACAGCTTGACGTCACAGCCGGGGAACGGCCCCGTCAACAGGATGTTCTGAGGCTGCAGGCACGGCAGTCAATAATTATATGGATAGCATCACATCAGGCACACCGATTAAACCAGCAAAAAATAATACAAGTAGTTGAAGCAACCTTTAAACCCAATAACTGACTGACAAAATGGCAGATATCAGTCGGTACTCTCTAGGGTGTTGGCGCCACATCAGTCAGTCAGCAGGATGATTTACAGCATTAGTGGTACATCAGTCACGCCGGTGTCGGCAGGGTGTTTCGGGGTTGGTCGAATATCGCAGGTTAGATCACACCAACATCATATCAGACACGTGGGCAACGTGCCTGACGTCAGTGCTATAACCGACGGCACGTCAAGTCCCGCCGAAGCCACCGCACGGACACGAGCAATTCAGCAGGACTCCGCGGCTGGCGCATGCAAACCAGTCCTGCAACACACGTACACACACATCGAGCAAGTGCTACCTTGAGGTCCAGATGGGCGATATCCTGTCATGGAGGAAGACGACCGCCTCGAGCACTTGACGCAGCATGCGGCGCGCCTCCGGCTCGGCGATGGTCTCGTCCCACGTCCACCAGCCGCTGCAGCTCGCCGCCCGGCACCCTGGCCGCCGAGGGACGCCGCTGTGACGGCGGCCGTGCGGTCCGACCGGCGCCACTACACCGCAGTCGCGGGGCCCGCTCAATACGCGGTGGACGGCAGCACGGGAAGACGCCAGTTTTGAGCCCATCGGCACTCACCAGCGAGCTCCGGCGGACAGTGCGCGCACGCGAGGACGGCAAGGCACACAGCGCAAGCCACGCAATGGAGGTGCAGTGCCCTGCCTCAGGGGAGGAGAGCAGGGGGCATAATGCCACAAAACTTTAAGAAAGTGAGCCGAGTTCAATCAAGTCTTGTTTTTGGTGCCTTGTTGGGATAAGATGAGCAATCTTTTCAAACTCCCCAGACTACTAATTTTACGAAACCACGTCCCTGCCAGAAATAGTTGAAATACGTAACTTTGCAAGCTGTGGAGGGCTCCCGTATAGCCTGCGGTCAATGCCGTTGAAAACAAACTCAGCTGGCCGCAAGAGCACGCTGTGGTCAGCTGAGAGGATGCTGCGCCCGGATTACTGTCCGTTCATGCATGCGTTCACGCAGTCAGCACCAACACCTGGCCGGCCTGTTTCTCCCTCGGCCGTGACGTCATTCAAGCTGATCGCAGCCGACTCACATCTCGAGCACGAGCGCCGTCTCGGTGGGCGTCTCGAACACCTCGTGCAGGCGCACGATGCGCTCGCTGGCCCGGCTGGCGGCCGGCGGCGCGCGCCAGCTCAGGATGGCCACCTCGTGCAGGATCTCGTGCAGCACCTCGGAGGCGCGCCGCCGCCGCCGCACGAACTTGGCGGCGAACGTGACGCCCGACACGCGGTGCGTCGACTTGCGCACGGTCGCGAACTTGCCCCTGTACCAGGAGCATGGGGTCAGTGGTCTGGGCAGGGATTCCTGGCCAGTGGAGGATTCCAAGTGGCTCCAGGGCAGGGACTGCAAGGCAGAGATTTCAGGCCAGGCCTGCCTGGTGCTTCTGGCTTGAGTGGACCAGGCAGAGCTTTTGGTGGAACTTGGCTGGGCAGACAGATTGTCATCTCCAGGGAGGGTGTCCTAGCATGGGGTAGATCCTGGCAGACATGAAGATGGCCAGGCCACACAGCTAGAGGACTTCAATGTCACCCTGCAAGAAGTTTGAACTACAGCACAGTCTCTTACTTATGTAGTGGCAATGGCTCACAGATATTCAAACACACATACCATCCAATGTGAAAAATTCTATGAAAATATTATGCTGATTTGATGTTAATACTGAGAAAGACCAATGTATTGCATTTAAGATCATAAGCTCTCACAAGAGGTGGAGCATAAGCATGCAATACATCATTGAAACACAAATCAAAACTTTTCTCAATTACCTTGCAAAAGGTGCATGTTCCACTTCATACACATCATGGATTCGACATTTCTTGATCAGTGTTTGTTGACTGTGGTCAGACAGCTTTACCAATCCTTTGTACTGCTCACCAGACATGGTTACATATGTTTGCAACTGAATGCCCTTACAGTTTGATCATAATCCACTTGGTTAGATGCATGGTCTGAAAATGAGCAGTACCTGTGGTGAGAAACGGAAGGTGTTCTTTATTGATTCCAACAATAAACTTAACAACTGAATTACAGTTATGAAGTCTGGACAATAGCTTCAACTCCTATTTCATACATCATGAGTCTTGTTAATTGTTAGTGCAATTCAAAGTGAAACTAAACTTTGGCAAAAACTAATAGCTGGTGCTGTATTGCTTCTTGCATTAAATAATACACCCTGCAAATTCCAACTTATTTGGTCCCCCAAAACCATGTGAACACATCTAGGTTTGCATGTCTTATCTGGAGCCTGCATATCCCAAATGTTGCCTGCAAGTAGTCTGGAAGCCTTGAAAAGCAGCCTCAATTTGTTCTGTTTTGGTGGATTAGTGATTTCATATCACCCCTCCCCTTTTGATTCACTACAGACACAGACAGATCATGTAAGGGCACAATCTGTTATGAAGGCTCATTTGGATACAGCACCTGCTCCCTGATCCACCTGCTGGTGGCAGGGTGGGATCAAGTTGCTTAAGGCACTCACTCTTTGCTCTTGATAGGTATGGCCTGCAGCTGGTGGCCACACACCTTAAGGTCATAAAAGGTCAGTTGATATCTGGGGCAGGAAGGATCCTGCAACATTGTGTCATGTTAAGCTTTCACCATCAAAATACCTCTTGCCCTGGAATACTGTGATCAGACAGTAGGGGTCAGGGCTCACACAACAGGCACTGCTTAGCATTGCCTGTGATCCCAGAATCCATCCATTTACAAGGCTTGGATTAATTTTTTTCAATATGATGGTGATGCTACACTATAGATGTCAGTTTATGTTTGACTGAAATAATCACCTATATATAACTATGAACAACTCAAATAATTTGAGTGATTAAATGTTGGGGTCTAATGAGCAGAGCTTAGGAAAATAGCTTAATTAGGCAATGGATATCACCACAACACTTCCCATCCTTGAACATGTTGCAAAGGCAGTAGCCACCAGCAGTGGGCAATCATCTTATGGCTCATGTCAACCTCAATCAATCTCATGTCCACAGAAAGATAGCATATCCTGCTGCTGGTGATTACTGCTAGTACTGTGTGCCATGAACCAGTTGCCAGGTATGCTGTTTCAATGAACCAAAATATGATGAAACCTCATTTTTGACTACATGACTCATAGCAGACCACTCCTATGAATGAGGCTTGGAGGTTTTGCTGTGCTCCCATGAATGAATTACAATGCATGAATTACAATGGTGGAAGCAAATGATCCTGATGCCTGGGTGGTTTATATGACCTCAGTGGGTACACCTAAATAATTACTTGGTCATACCAAGTCAGAAGGTTGGAGTTGCTCCTCAATGATTGGCCACAGCTATCAAATGGTTGGTGATGATGCTGCTGTCCGACTTGCTTAATCATACAAATCACTTTTAATGAACCCATCCATTAGTTGTGAATATTTAGACACCCTGATAATTGCAAGGTTGCAAAATTCATGGAGTCTTTAAGGACTGAAAACAATGCATATATCACACATACTCAATTTTACAGCAGAATTGAACCAAAAATATCAGCAAATGCACACAGTAAAGCCTAGTGTAATGCCTCCAACAAAATATGATAAATTATTCCACAGAATTACAAGTGTTGAGGTTATTGCACCCAAACTGTGCCTAAACATATTATTTTTAAGCAAAAGCCTTTTCAAAGGCTCGGGCTGATTTTGATGGACCAGTCTGGTATGCACACACCAGGCTCATCACATCACTATCACTTCAGTGTATGGCACAGTAGATGGATCGCTTGAAGACCTATGTGACCTATGTGGTACCTGTGACACAATGTTGGACCCTAAAATGTTCAAATTAATCAGGTCATATCAGCACACTATCGTCCCATCAACAGCATATTCAAATCGCCAGCGCGCTTTTGTAAGTGACAACGCTGACTTCACATCGGAGATGACACGAGGACATTACTAAGTTTTAAAGACACATGGACATACCATAGGCTTTCAGCTAAGTCCAACCCACGCCTCACGCGGACCACCACGCCTCTGACCAGAACGACCAGCGGGAAAAGCCGTGCCCCTTTCCGCTGAGCAATTCCAAAATACAGAATGTCAGTGAAACTGGCGCAGTACTCAAACGGAGCATACTCATGTGAGCTGACCATCTGATCAATGACGTCACACGTTTTGTTTTAAGAATTGTCCTCAAACAACTGATGGATTGGTTTCTTTTTGCCAGAGCGAGTGAATATTAGGATTCTGCCAGGCATTCAGCCCCAACAAATCCTAAGAAAACACGAGCCTTCCACGCCTGCTTTTAGCTTCGACCGTGACCGTGCGTTAATCATATCGACTAAAACGCTGCCGCGGTAAAAGTACAAATGTCGGCATCACGCCGGGGCTGCGGCTGCTAGACGATTGGAGCGGTAGAGGAGTGTTTCACATTTGAAGATATTGGGGCAAGCATCATATCTGATGGAATAAGCTCACTGGTAACTACTGGTACGACTTTAAGTACAAGACTGTTCAAGGCAAAAAAGCCTCGGTATATCGGAAACATGCGCCTCGTTACGTCATCGTTTGATGGCGTCATGGAATCTTTGAATGACGTCAGCATGGCTGCCAAGATGGTCGGGCGAAACTACCACTGGGGCGGCGGGCTACCTCGATTGAAGTGGCTCGTGGTGCTCACTTGAATCACTCAGCTCACTTTTCGGGGGGCGTCGTGTCAGTTGGTGCGTTGTTAGCAGATCCCCGAGAATCGTGAAGTGTGCATGTTTTGGCCCTTTCTCTTGGTGGTCTTGCATAGTTCTCCGTGGTTTTATATTGTTTCTTTGCATCCACATGCTCGGTTATGGTACTGAGCGTCCCGCCTCTGGGGTACATTTCAAAGACATTCTGCTGAGGCCTCAGGACTAACTACGTCCAATAATGGGTAGTGCCACTCATGCACCGTCAATGTATTACAAGGATATTGATTTTTAATTATTTTCGTAGTCGAAATTACGCAGCCCACATTTTTAACAGCACTGCGCCTCTTCCCAGCGGCCGCGATCACCGTCGTGATGAGCACCGTGCGCACCCATACTGGTGCGAGTAAAATAACGTTTGTGATTGGTTCAGCGGACAAGGGCCTGTGTCACATGCATATATATATATATATATATATATATATATATATATATATATATATATATATGGTCACCTGGATCATGTGATACTTCCATTCCCAAAGCCAAAGTGCGCCTCGAAAAGAGTAATTGTGATACACACCATAGGGAAGAAACCAAAGCTATAGCATAACGTTCCGTTGAATATACGGGACAATGACTTAATGTTCAAAAGCACTTAACCAGTGTTTCCAGCTTTAGTAGGACTTATTTTATAAATAAAAAGTAAGACAGTAGCGTGTTGCGAACGTTGTAGAACACGCGCGTTGGAAAAGCCAAGAGAAATGTGCTGCTATTTAGCAAGATAAATGTGCTGCTTTCATTGTGGTGCGTAGGGAATCGAATGAAATGCCTCCCGCAGGGCCCGCTACTTCAAACCGAAATGCTGAGCTATTCTGCAGCATTTCGAGAAAACTTGTATCACTGACCAAGTCGTACGCGTCTCATAACGATAAGTGAAGAACGAAAAGCTGGGACAACCCCTTCAACCTATTCGAATCCACGCCCGATTCCTGTCATAACTCGTACCATTGCCTAACTTCTGTACTACGTAGCACAGGGCTTGAGGGGCATAGGGTATTCAAAACTTTCGCCGAACGAATTACATTGGTTGAGAGCCAAATGAAGCTCGCTGGTGCCAGAAATTGTGCGGACATGCCCTAGACACCAAAAACTAGATGATGATATCTGTCTTGGCATTGAGCACCACATGGCCAATGAAGACGTCAGTATTCGCGTAACGTTCCTGTGGCATCATGCATGCCTGGGTGACCTTGAAGTACTTTGCACAAGCTCGCAGACGTCAAGTTCAAAATCAGAGGGTTTTATACTTTAAAAGGGTCTTAAAAGGCGCTTTACGCAAAGGATGATGAGACATTGAGAAGCACATCATGCGCACATCAGAGGCTTCTGGAAATTGCATGTGACCTAGATCCATGTACGTCGGACAAAAGGTGCATGACCGCGGAAGTCTGATATCGGTTCCTTCATTGCACGCACGCGAATGCCAGACGTACGTGCAAATGTTAACGGATGGCTCCAAATTAGAGAGGTGCAGGATGTGGTGCCATTTGTAGCGATTGGAAGGGTTTTACGCCGTCCCACTATTACTCAACTTTAACTGTCGGACCTAATGTAATTACTGAGGCGTTACGGTACAGAGAAATTGGCGGAGCAGTTTTTGTAAGGCTTGCTGTCCTGAGAAAAATGAAAGGAGAAATGCCTGGCTTGGTCATATCTTCCGACAAGTGGTGGCTCTTAAGTGGGCCGGAAAGCGCGCGACTGTCCGGGTGCTTGAGCGCATCGAGCTGGTTGTAAATGAAATGGCCCATGCTTCTGCTGAGGTGGTAGCAGCGCCTACTTGACCTCGTTCCGCTCAAATAACATTCTAAGGCAGCTGGCAAGACACAACCGACAACGCGACGGACAAACCAACGACAGTAAGAGGCGGTGTGGGCGACTGGATGACCTCCAGTCGTTATATAAAGAGGAAGTCGGCCCTTGTCTCTTAAAGGGCACGGTGGCGTGGGGACCGGGCTTCCATCCCAGGGTCTTACAAAAGATTATAGCACTAGATGACCTCGTCGACCCGTACTTCCTCCTCCGACTTATGTACCTCGCGACTAGATGTCCAGTTATAATTAAAACTGTTTGGGCATCGTAGCATTGTCATCCCTTACCGCTCAGCTCCGCGATCTCTGGCGTATGGCAATGGAGGAAACGGTGCATCCGCGAGTTGATTTTAACTTCTACAAGCCGGCGTGACTTCAGTAGCTCTGACGGCTGTTAACGCATCCGCTGCCAGGCACATGTTGCGAAAATGCCATCTAAACGGCGATGTGCTAAATGAGTGGTTGGACACGTGGGATAATGGAGCATGTTATTAACCATCCGTGTAACTAATAGAATCTCCGCTCAGAACCGTAGGGTTACTTTTTAACTCCTTGGGTTGCACCTCTGCGCAGCTCAAGGCGCGT